GGTGCAGCTCAGGGACAGGGCTCAAGTCCTACAGGGAGAGCTGTTATTAGCTACTTCAGGGTGGTGTTAAAAAAAAAAAAAAAAAAAAAAAGGAAAAAAGGCCCTCACACATAATACACATGATGAATATGTTTAGAAAGCTAGAATTTAACTGCTTTTAAAATTAGCTATCTTTCTTTTAACTGTACTAGTAGCAAAACAGTAGCAGTAGTAATAGTAATTACCATCATTTATTCAACTTCTACATAGGAGACATTTATATCCAGTATCTTATTTAATCCCCACAGAAATCATAATTGGTATTTGTCCACCTTGGTGATGAGACAAACTAAAGCTCAGAGAATTTGCCCAAATGCAAGAAAAGTAAAGCCTTCCCTTTCTGCGAATAGGTGAACTAGATTTGTAAAGAATTCCTAAAAGCACTTGGTAAAAGATAAAAACATTTTTTTAACCTATGACAGATTTGGCTAGAAAGTGAAGTGATTCCTTGGGGCCCAGAAATGATGAGACAGCCCCAATCCACGCAGGAGCCATCAGATCAGCATTTCCCACGCAGAAGGGACAAAACCTAAAGCCCAGATGAGTAAAAGGTCAGAACAGAGACCCACAAACACAGCCAAGAAGACAGAAGGGCAGCACCTCAGTGAGGGAGCAGAAAAACGCCTGCCCCGCAGAGCAAGTACACGCAGTCACGTGGCCAGTTTGGCCTCCGCTCTACGTGGAGCAGGAAGAGAAAAAGAAAAATCCCCTCTCCCCATGTCTAATAACAGATATAACCTTTATTGAGTTTGGGGCCTGAATATACACAACTATTGTGGCTGAAAGAAAACCCTGACTTTTTAGTTTAACTTGGTTCCAACTTGGTGAAACCCTTGGGCACCTGACAGAAGCAAGTTCCAAACTTCTCTGGAAGAAAATACTTCAAAATGGGCCTCAATGAACCCCTGCAAATTAAGTTACAAGGAAAATAAACTCTTTTTTTTTTTTAAGTCATTAAACACAGGGAAATAAACCACCCTGAGTGAGAGTCAGCTGAAATAAGAAACTCTAGAATCAGATCTTCAGAGACCACAAATACTAGGACTTATCAAACATATATTACAAAATTAGTATAATTAATATGTTCAAAAATGTGAGAGGAGGTTGAAAGTGTATTAAATTAAAACTATTATAACTGGTCAGATTTGAAAAATGACCAAGCCGTAACCGGTTTGGCTCAGTGGATAGAGCGTCGGCCTGCGGACTGAAGGGTCCCAGGTTTGTTTCTGGTCAAGGGCATGTACCTTGGTTGCAGGCACATCCCCAGTAGGGGGTGTGCAGGAGGCAGCTGATCGATGTTTCTCTCTCATCAATGTTTCTAACTCTCTATCCCTCTCCCTTCCTCTCTGTAAAAAATCAATAAAATATATTTTTTTAAAAAAGAAAAATGACCAAATAAAAATTCTAGAAATAAAAAAAAGATAAATAAAATTTCAATTTCAGTGACTAGACAGACTATCAGAGAAAATATATGAACTGGAATATTGAAGAGATTACACAGACTCATGAGGAGGGGGGAAAGCAGTGGGAAAAAGGAAAATTTTTAAGAAACCTGGAGATTAGGATGAGAATATTCAAAATAAAAACAATAAAGAAAATGGTAAGAACCAATATTAAAAGAGATAATGGCTGACATTCCCCAGAATTAGTGAAAGACATCAGTGCAGAGATTAAGAAAGCCCAGAGAATCCCAAGCAGGATATATCAAAAGAGGTCCATTCCTAGACATATTAAATGTTTGAAAAACAAACACAGAGAGGAGACCTTAATAGCAATCAGAGAGAACAAGCAGATTATCTAGAAAAAAGTGACAAGCATTAATGTAAATCAACTAGCATCAAATAACTAATAATTTTGAATTCTAAACAAGAAAAGCTATCTTTCAAAGGGCGAGGGCCAAAAAAACTACTTCAGATTATGCCAAACTAAGAGAAATTACTACCAAAACACTCTCATTGTGGGAACTTCTAAACAACATGCATTTTAGAAACAAGTAAAGGATCCCAGAAGGCAGGTTTGAAATGCAAAGGGTCAATGAGCAATGATGAAGTTAAACATGTGGTTAAATCAAAATTTAAAAAATGATGGTAGAAAACATCAACAATGTTTAATTTATGGGTTTTTAAAAATTAAGAGAATTGAAATTCTAGAAAATGGCACATAAAATTTGGAGGTGAGTAATTAGAATTCAAGTGTGCTTTGCTTCTTTTATTGTTTAAAAAAGCTTAAATACAGTGATTAAATTTCAATTCTATTATGTTAATTATGCATATTAAAGTTTCTAGGATGTCCATTAAAAGAACTAGAATACAGGAGGGAAATTGGAATTAGAGGTTCAGGAAATAGAACCAATAAATTCAAAACAAGGAGGCAAAAGAAGAAAAAAAATGAAACAGGAAAAAAAAAAAAACCACAGGATAAATATCATTAGAAAGTACAAAACCAAGATGGCAGAAATGAATCCAAATAGTAGAGTTATTACAAATAATGTAAATGGACTAAACTCTCCAGTTAAAAGACAAAGACTATCAGAATAGATCATGACCTGGATGGAGTAATTGGTCGAAGTGGAGGAGGAGTAGAACTGAGGCTCAGAAGGTAACCCCAGCAGCACCATGTCACATAGGTTTTAACAGCTTAGCTGAGGCATTTGACTTTGATTGGGCTCTCCAACAAGAAGCATGGGACAGGAGACTATTTTTTTAATATTTCTACTATTATTTTTAATGCAATGTTATCTAGCATATTCATAGCTTATACTGATAAGCATTTTAAAAATTAAAACAAGAAAAGAATCTCAAAATAAAGAATAATCCTTTGGTTTTAAGATGGATAGATAGGTAGATAGATAGATAGATAGATAGATAATAGATAGATCTAAGATTTTCCTCTATACACTTCTGTATTGTTGGGACATTATTTAAGTGCTATTTTTGTGATTTAAAAAGCTCAAAACTTGGCAGTGGGGTACTGTGGATTCTTGAGTAAAGAAGGACTTGGGAATGGAATATTTAGGGGGAGGCGGTTAGCCTGCAGGATGAATTTCGAGGTCAGGACACAAAGACTAGAGTTAAAGAAATAAGTTTGAACAATAGAAGAGACTGCCTGACTGAACCAGTGTGATAAATGTAGGATGGAAGGAAAGGATAAATCTAAAAGGAAAGAAGTGACAGAATTTGTTGACTGTTCCTGTTCCTGCAGGTCAGGGTTGGTTTGAGCAATTGAGTTCTTAAATATGAAGCAAGAGGCAAAAATTATCTAATAAATGGTGATGACAACAATGACGCCCGCTCTAGTCTGCTTCTGCAGAAGGATTCATTACTAATCTGAGCCAACTCCCGGGAGTCTCTATTTGGAGAGCAAAAGACTCACTTATTAGACATCCAAGAGGATTGTACAGAACAGTGGTCCCCTCCTTTATATCTTTCTTGGGAGGGATTTGGCATAGCAGAGGATGCAGCACCACTACAGCCTTTAGCATCTCCATAGCACAAGCCAATTTGATTAGAATGAAAAATTAAAAAAAAAAAACCACATCATTTGTACACTCTACAAGGGCCTTCCCTAAACCTAGTCCACCATATTAGAGGAAATGGAATTACCTTGGAATTTCAGATAAATTGAAGGGAGAAGGCAGTATCCTAATTAGGTCACAGGTTGTGACATGGGGTTGGTAGGTGCAACCTCTGGGCCCCAGACAGGTTCTTTCTGGAGCTACGCTATCTAGTGGTTGGATAGGAGACCCTGAGCTCCAAAAGACAAGGAACCATTTACCTGAAAATGGAAGTACCTTCATCATCGTTTTGGGCACCACCAGAATGGTAGCCACACTGACCCTTCAGAGGCCTCCTAGAACTCCATGTACAGAACCTGAGCAAGCAAGTTCTCAGTTTCTCTGAGCCCTGGTTTCCTTATCTGTAAAATGGGTTGGTAATAACAGACTTCTAAAGGTTTGTCATGAGGGTCGAATGGGATGACGCTATAGAAATTGCACAGTGCTTGGCCAATGTACTAACTTAATACGTACTTTTTAAATCTATTTTTTAAGGAGAGGAGATAAAGAGAGCTCTTGTGTGCCACCCCAGCATCCCTTCCCCACCGTTGGACCTATTCCAAAACAAGACGGCATTCTGTACCTTGAGGCCATTTGTGCATTATTAACCAGATCCTCTCCAAGGAGCTCCTCTCCATTACCCCTGCTCCCTGATAGCACTGCCTGAGGTCCGAGCCCTGAGAACTGACCCAGGCTCACTGGCACGCTCAAAGAAACGAAGAAACGTGACCTCCATTGGCTTCCCAGGTACAGGTGCAGAGGCACATCCTCACCCAGAAGCTTTGGTGCCTGCCCTGCTCCAGACCCAGCTCCCATCATGTTGCCCATCTGTCCCACCTGCTCTCATCACTGGTAGCGAAGTGGTTTCAGAGAACCTTGTACATGGAGGCAAGACTTGGAAGGAGTTCTTTTCCCTGAAGACAGTTTGTTCTTACAATAAACTACAGTTTTATCCACTCTGAATGCCAACAGGGATGGTATTTTCTCATGATTAAGCTTCTTCACTCCCCCCTTCCCTTCTTCAGACTTTGGCTATAAATAGGAGCATCTTTGTTCTGTCTCCTCTGGACAGTAATTGGAAACACGAACTGGGGAGACACCCTCCTGTCTGTCCACATCTCTTGGTTGCTCCTCCACAAGTCGGCAGTCGCACAAACAAGCCGGCGGCTTTGGTTGTGTTTTCTCTGAAGTCAGTTTCTGCCACTAAATGGTTATGGATTCCAGCATCTCGAGAACCTCAGGACCAAGACGGATGGTATTTTCGTGTTCGTTTGAACATGTGCACTTAATGCGCTTGGTTAATTAGAGTAATTAGTAGTCTTTTCATCCCAAGGCCGTTGCTGAGATTAAAACAGGGCTGTTATTTCTTTTAATGGACTAACTGAAGAATTTTTGTTTTGGAAGTGAGTCAGATGAAGTTCTGCTCTGCAACAGAAGACGAAGGGACACGGATTCTGAGGACCTGGGGTCTTTGGGCAGAGTTCCCAGCCTCGGTTAGTCCCTCCAGATTTTCATCCGTCAATAACGACAGTGCCCAGGGTGATATCATTTAATGCCCAAACCAGGACACTTTTGAGGATTAAATGGGGCTCTAATTATACATGCAAAGACTGTTGTGACAGAATTTTCCAGGAGATAATTTTTGACAAACTCCTGGCCTGGGAGAGCTGGCCATAGCGCAGCTGTGGTCCGCGTGGGCTGTGGTCTGTGTGGGCTGTGACGGCTACTCTCCACCCCCTCATCTGTGACTCCTCTGCCAGGTAGCACTGATTCTCTCATTGCTCTCTGCTGCTTCTCTCCACCTCCCACCACCCCTGCTCCTCGTCTTTCCTGCTTGGTGAAGGCCAAAGTGCTCCACTCTGCTTAACTAATTCCCTCTGATGCCGACATTTCTATCTTTGCAATTGGCGTCCCTGTGAAGTTTCCCTTTGTACATTTCCCTGTGCCTGTATCCCCATTATTCAGGTATCATCACTCAATAACCGTTCGACAGCTGTAATGCTTTTCATATGGAAAGAATTGGCTTTTATTGATGGCAAATGTTGTGATGAACTTGCATGCCCACTTGGAGCCAGAGGAGCTTTTTATTGGGTGAACCGCACTAAGATGTGGTTGCAAGAAATGTCTTTGGAGTGTGGACTGAGATGTACTTTTGGGAACAGGTCTTGTGGTGGAGGGAGGGGAGCAGCCTTTCCTGTATCAAAGTCTCATCAATCAAAATGCATAATAGCGACGTTATTAATAACTTTATAGTCGCATGGCACTTAGTATTTTTCCAAGCACTTCCCTGGAATCCTAATATGCAGGTAGGACAGATATTATTACTTCCATGGTATGAGTTAAGCAACATTGTAACAGGACTCACCGGCCCCATGAGCACGGAGTTAGTTGATAAGCAGGTAAGTGTCTCATGAGAAGGATACGGTTAGCAGGTTAGCGGGCAGGAGTAGCCGTCCTGGGGGGTCCTAGATGCCTTCTGAACACCAGGAGTCCTTCCCAAGCTAAATTCTTCTCGTGTCCCCTTTGTCTGGTCCAAATATGAGAGCATGGCCACCATGTCCAGGCACAGTGCTCATCTCAATGCCGCCTGCAGTGCAATTAAGCATCCTGACACCTAACCCAGATGCAATGGAAAACAAGGCTCATTTAGCAACATAACGCCATTGGCTTGTGGTGTGGTGGACAGAATGTGAATGCCACCTGTTAACTGTCCCAGACTAGAGCCATTCTCCACTGGATCTAACAAGAGAATGGCAAACACTAGATGATGGGGGAGGTGACGCTAGTGTATCCCATCCACGTGAGCAATTGGCTACTTTGGACCCCAGGGCCCCCCGCCCCCCACCCTGCACCAGCCTTGGCACCAGCCACGATAAAATAAGAGAGCTAGGGGGCTAGACAGGAACTGGGAACCCCTTGGGGACACCGCCATCACCATTCTGCTGATATGGAAGCTAAAGCCCCAGGACTGTGAAGGGACTTGTCCTAGTCAGCAAGGTGAGCCAGGGCAGAGCAGTGCTAAGAACCAGGACCTCGAGAGAATGTTCCCAGCCTGAACCAGCGGGTTTTCTAATGCACCCACCTGACTTCTCTTCCTTCTTAATCCACTGGCTCTCCCGTATTACTTGTCTGCAGCTGGTTCTCAGGGGCTCACCACTCTACCTGAATTAAGAAGAGGATATTTGGCCCGGCCGGTGTTGCTCAGTGGTTGTGTTGACCCATGAACCAGGAGGTCACCCGTTGAATTCCTAGTAGATCAATGTTTCTCTCTCATCGATGTTTCTATCCCTCTCCCTTTCTCTCTCTCTAAAAAAATCAATTAAAATTTTTTTTGTAAATAAAAAGAAGAAGAGGATATTTTTCTACACACTTGGTTTCTCCATGCCCTTCCCACCTTCAGATCCAGAGCCTTCATGATGAGGGAACAAAGCTCCGTGAGCAGCACGTTGTACCGGGGCCACGTGGAGGTGGGTGAACCAGCAAGATGTTGTCACTCAAAGAGGCGGTGCCTGCTCAGTGTCCCGCTGGCGCACCCCAAGAGGTGCACTGTGAGACACGTCCTGATACCTTCAAGTTCATCCTCATCCCAGACACACTCGATCTCCCAGGAATACACTGGGAGGAAAGTGGTTTTGTTTCTAGGCCACCTGCTTCCATTATTCATGAATGTCCCTCAGCAGGACCACAGCCTCATTGCTTGTGTTAACTGGCTCCTAACATAACACTTGGACTCTCTGGAGCTCAGATTTTTTGTCATTTCAGACCTAACCCTCCATGGCTCACGGTTCAAGGGTGCTTTCCTTACCCTTTTTGGCTTCCTCTAGTTCTTTATCTGCTCTTTGTTTTGCTTGGCTTATGAAATGTCATATCTCATTCTAAGCCAACATGCTGCTCCTGTATCAGTTCAGTTTCAGTCATAGAATATTGACGAGAGGGCCTGGACCACGATTCGCTTCTATAGACTCTAAGATTGTAGGAAATTCCTTCCAATGGATCTACAGCTCGTTGCCCATGCTATATGCGGGTTCTTAATTTGTATTTTGCTTGGAAAACTTATGGGGATTTTCCTCCTCAACTTTCCATCAGAAATCAACCACCTGGTGCTGCTACCACCACCATTTGGTTAAGAAGGAAGCCAAAGGCACCAGCTGGAGCAGTGGTGACTAATAAGGCCCTGATTTCATGGCTGTTGGGGTCTCTCAGCTGCTGGACTTACTCACTGTTCTGTCTCATACTCTGTCCTTCCTTCCAGCATTTGTCATGCTGCATCTTCCTCCATCACCCTTCCCAGTCTGGCTCCTCTTGGGTTCTCTTTTTTTAAAATATTTTTATTTATTTCAGATAGGAAGGGAGAAGGAGAGAGAGATAGAAACATCAATGATAAGAGAGAATCATTGATCAGCTGCCTCCTGCATGCCCCCCACTGGGGATCAAGCCTACAACCCAGGCATGTGCCCTTGACCTGAATCGAACCAGGGACACTTCAGTCCGCAGGCCAACGCTCTGTACACTGAGCCAAACCAGCTAGGGCAGTGGTCAGCAAACTCATTAGTCAACAGAGCCAAATATCAACAGTATCAACAGTACAACGATTGAAATTTCTTTTGAGAGCCAAATTTTTTAAACTTAAACTATACAGGTAGGTACATTGTTATTAACTTAATTAGGGTACTCCTAAGCTGGCCTTTGCTAAAAACGTCCTCAATCTGATTGAGGTACGTTCGCTGAGGTCGACCCCTTCCAACTCTCCCATCCACACTCATCTTGTATACTTGTTTCATCTATCTCCTTTTGTTCATCCTCTCTATATGTCCAAACCATCTCAACACACCTTTCTCAATCCTCGACACTATATCTTCTTTCACTCCACAACGTTCCCTAAAATTAACTTAATGAACTTTACTTAAAGTTTTAAGTCTTAGTTAAACTATCGGCACATTGAATAAAACTTAATATCATACTTAATAACGATATTATTTATTGATACAATTAAATTCCTTACAATTTACCTTACAATATCCATAAAGTTAAATCAGGACAATGACTGACAAACACTAATGTGAACAATGGCCTTGCATCTCCTTGGAAAGTTTGGATAAGTCAGGTTTGTATGTTGTTGTTTTTAATTTTAGGCATGATTCCAGGTTCTCATCAATAAGACGACCTCTCAATTTACTCTTGATAAGATTCATGCTTGAAAATGATTGTTCGCATAAATATGTAGACCCGAATAAGGAAAGAACAGCAAACGCTAGTTTTTTCAGTTGATTATATGAGTCAGGAATACTATTCCAGGTGTTAAAAATCAACATATCTTCCTTCTCCAGGTCTTTCAAAGCAGACCACTTGTGCTGTGAACTAAGTTCACATTTGTTTTTCTCCAATATTTCTATATCAGCACAAAGACGTTCAAATTTCGAGCTCCACAGTTCTTTGTTTTTTAAATCCAGCAATTGCATTTCAAAGTTGCCAATGTCAATATTAAAGGGAGAAAAATTTAATTCTGTTACAGTAGCATTGAGAGGTTTTTTAACAAAGGCTAACATCGCTTTGCTGTTTCTGAATTCCTGAAACCTGTTGAGAAAAGCTTCCCTCATATTTAAAAGTGTTGTTTTGAAATAGCAAATGTCAATATCAGAATTATTTTCTTGGTGATATTTCAACAGGCTTGGAAAGTGAATCAAAGTTTCTCTTTCAAAATCTTGAGCAAAAAGAGATAATTTGTTTTCGAATGAAATAACTTCTTCTAACATCGAAAAAACTGTGTTTCCTTTCCCCTGTAGTTTACGATTAAGCTGATTTAGATGAGACGTAACGTCTACCATGAAATAAAATTTTTGGATCCACTGATCGTTCGTTAGTTCTGGATAGTGAACACCCTTCTCAAGAAGAAATGCTTTAATTTCTGTTAATAAGGAAGCGAAACGTTTCAAAACGTTTCCTCTTGCTAACCAACGTACCTTGTTATGCAGCAGCAGATCTGCGTACTCACTCTCCATTTCAACTAAAAATTCTTTAAATTGGCGATGATTAAGAGCTTTAGCTATAACGGAGTTGATAATCTTAATCACCAATTCCATAACTTCGCAAATTTCTTCTGGAAATGTTTGCGCACAAAGCGCTTCTTGATGAATGATGCAATGGTAAGTAAGTATCTCGTGATTAATTTTTTCTTTCAAAATAGCAACAAACCCGTTTCTTATGCCGGTCATACTTTTCGACCCATCTGTTGCAATTGAGACAATTTTATCGAGTGGAATATGATGTTTTTCAATGCACTCAATTACAGCATTTGCTATATCCTCTCCACGTGTTTGACCTTTGAGTGGCAATAATCCTAAAAGTTCTTCTTTAGGACCTGTAGATGAAATAAATCGTACAAACAGTGAAACTTGCGCTGTATCATTTACATCAAAAGACTCGTCAACTGCTATTGATAAAGCTGAAACCAATTTAAGATCTTCGACTTGCTGGTTGGTTATATTCAAAGACATTTTGACTGTTCTATCTTTCACTGTTTTAGCAGACAATGGTAACTCTTTAATTTTTTTTAGAATATCTGCTTTGTTCTTAAAATCCCGAAATAGCTCTTCGGATGCATTTATAAAACAACTTTTTATGTATTCGCCGTCTGTATTTGGTTTTCCTCTCTTAGCAATCTCTTGACTAACCACAAAACTTGCAATATTAACATTGTTGGAAGATTGCATCCAGTAATTAAATACAGAACTTGATTTTTCTTGACTCTTCTGAAGTTCCTCAACTGCTTTCTTCCTTGCATCACCAACAGGATATTTAGTACTAAATGACATGTGTTTAGTTGTAAAGTGTCTCTCCAAATTTGATTTCTTATTATGCGCCAATTTTTCCTGACAAATAAGACAGGTCGGAAGGCCATTTAAGTTTTGAATAAACGCGAAAGTCTCGGTCCATTCAACCTTAAATTCACGGTTTTCGTCTTCCGTTTTTCTTTGCTTCTTCTTTGGAGCCATGTCAAGCAGGGAACCTAAAAAAATGTTTCATTTTATAATAATAAAGCCACCAACACAAAATATTTACAATTCTTAAATTGATGACAAAAATACCTGTAGGATTTGCAGCTGGTTGGAAAAATATAGGTAACTTTTTGCTTCGAGTAGGTACTTTTGTCACCTGCGAGCGATTTGCGGACGCGACTAGCACTAACCACTGCACCATGAGACTGCTGACTGACTGGCTCACTCAACTCGTGCATGAATCGCACGCGCCTCCCCCACGCTGCGAATCCCGCGGCCTGGCTGCACTGCTTCTCCCGTCGCCCGACCGACCGACCGACACCCCCCACTTCTTCTAACGCCACTTCTTCAAAACCGACTTCTGCGCATGGGCCACAAAGTTTCAATCTCACTGTACGTGCGCGCCCGCACGTGGTATTTTGTGGAAGAGCCACACTCAAGGGGCCAAGGAGCCGCATGTGGCTCACGAGCCGCAGTTTGCCGACCACTGAGGTAATACATTTGAATAATCAGATTTCTTACCAAAAACAAACAAACAAACAAAAAGCCTAACCAATAAAGCCTACAGTAACTTATGTGCTCCCTGCACCACCACCGACAGCTTCCCCAGTCACCTCAGCATAAAATCCAAAGGCCTTCACAGCCTACAACTGGTGGCCCAGGAACTGGTCCTGGCTTCTACCTTTCGTAGCTCTGTCACTACATTCCAACCACAGGAGCCTCCCCATTGCTCCTAGAGCCAAACATAGGCATCATGCATAGGAAAACAGACAAGAAATATGCCATCAAGTAGAAAATATAAGATCAGTGGTGATTTAGTGCAAAAAGTAAGACAAAGCATGTGCCCGCCTCAGGGCCTTTGCACTTAGGATGCCTATTGCTGGAACAGTTTCCCTGGGGTTATAGCTTGTTTAGTCGCGTTCTTCAGGTTCCTCTTCAAGTAAACTTCAGAAAGATCTTTCCTAGCAACCCTGTCTAAAACAGTATCCCCTCCTACTCTACTATCTATTCCCTTTCTTTGCTTTTTAGATGTCAAGCACTATCACAGCTTGACATGATGTTGTTTATGTTATTATAGGTTTACTGTTTACCTGCCTTTGCTATTATCTCCTGTGTCTAGACCAGTGGATGGTAATATTTTATATTAACTAAATAAATGAGTGCATAAATGAATTGTTCTTTATATATCACTAGAGGCCTTGTGCACAAAATTCATACATGGGGAGGGGGGTTCACCTCAGCCCAGCCTGCACCCTCTCCAATCTGGGACCCCTTAGGGGATGTCTGATTGCCGGTTTAGGCCTGATCCCAGGGATTGGACCTAAACCAGCAGTCATCCCTCTCACAATCCAGGATCGCTGGCTCCTAACTGCTCACCTGCCTGCCTGCCTGATCTCCCGTAACTGCAACCCCCACCAGCCTGGTCGCCCCTAACTGCCCCCCACCAGACTAGTCACCCCTTACTGACCCCCTGCTGGCCTGGCCATCACCAACTGCCCCCCTCTGCTGGCCTGATCGCCCCCAACTGCCCCCCTGACGGCCTGGTTGCCTCCAACCATCCCCCCACTAGCCTGCTTGCCCCCAACTGCTTGCCCCCTCTGGCCTGGTCGCCCCTAACTGCCCCCCTGTCATCCTGGTCTCCCCTTACTGCCCCCCTCTGCCAACCTGGTCACCCCTAACTGCCTCCCCCGTCAGCCTGGTTGCCCCCAACTGCCCCCCCACCCCCGTTGTCCTGGTCACCTTCAACTGCCCTCCTCTGCTGGCCTGGTCACCTCTAACTGCCCCTCTGCTGGCCTGGTCTCCCCTTACTGCCCCCCTCTGCCAGCCTGGTCACCTCAAATTGCCCCTCTGCCATCCTGGTCACCCCTTACTGCCCCTCTGCTGGCCTGGTTGCCCCCAACTGCCTCCCCGCCCCCCCCCCCTCCCCGCAAGCCTGGTTACCCCACGTAGTCTGCTGTTCAGTCATTTGGTCGTCCCTCACTAACCCCCCTGCCGGCCTGGTCACTCCATGCAGCCTGCTGTTCAGTTGTTTGGTTGTCCCTCACTAACCCCCCTGCTGACCTGGTTACCCCACGCAGCCTGTTGTTTGGTTGTTACTGTTATTGTGATGGCATCCCAGACAATTTGCACATTCCTCTATTATTAGTATAGATGCCTGGCCAGGTATTGCTGGATACCTTTCCATGCACATGTATCTTACATCACTCCTAGTTTTGGAAAGTTACATTTTAAAAAACTGATTCTTTTTTATTTACCACTTGTCTAAGTGACAGTAAACATAATTATTCTCATTATAAACTAATTGGAAAGGGTAATTTCCCAATTAATAAATATGTGCCTATGTAAACTGTGTTCCTATGATAAAATAATTATAAAAGCTGCTGACAACTTTGGAAGGAAAACAAAGATATTTGTTAGTGGCAAGATCTAATGAAAAATCTGACAGTCTAAACAAGAAAACTGACGAGCACAGTTCTCCACACAAGAACCCTGGCAAGTTACTGTCGATTTAATAATTTTGCCTAAGGAGAATTCCAGGCTTTGTATGCACACATTCTCCCTGCAGAAAGTGCACAAAGAGAGAACCTGTGTTGAAATCCTGGCTCTACTCATTACTGTTTACAGAATCTTGGCCAAGTTGCTTAACCTCTCTGAACCTTTATTGCTTTACCTGTAACATCGTTCCCTACCATACTTTGCAAGGCTATTGCATTAAATAAGATCAAGTATGTGGATACAGTTTGTCAACTTTTCAGTACTGTAAAAATGTAGTCAATGATTTTACCTCTGAGAAAGATTTGGAGAAAATAAATACCTCAATCACCATTAAGGGTATTAGTAAAAATAACAATAGTACTAGTAATTTAGAAAAATGTGATTCTTCCTATACTTATTCTCTAAAGTCGCAATGTTCAATAGAACTTTCTACAACAATGCAAATATTCTACTAGTAGACCTGTCCATCTAATACAGGCGCTCCTGGCCGTGTGTGGCTGTCGAGCACTTGAAGTGTGGCTAGTGTGACTGGGGAACTGCACTTTAAATTTCTTTAATTTTATTCCGTTTTATTTTAACAGTCACAGATGGCTGCTGTATTGGATAACATGCTAGTCTAAGGCATCATTTCTTCAAATATGTTTTGCAGATAACTCCTGCATGGCCCTAACCATGAAGGGATTGCGTTTTGCAAGCATCCAAAAGCCTGGTGACAGAATCTTGTGGTTCGGAGTAAAGGGAAAAGTGTGGAATGGAATGAGGTCTAGAAGAAAAGGAAAGGAGAGGGGGACTTCCTTGCCCTGCAAAAGCCAACAGAACCTGCCCCAGTGTGACCTTAGAAAAGGCTTTTACTCTGAGCCTCAGTCTTTTAACTATCAACTAAGACTCAGGAATATTGTGAGGCTTTAATCCAGTGGTTCTCAACCTGTGGGTCGAGACCCCTTTGGGGGTCGAACGACCCTTTCACAGGGGTCGCCTAAGACCATCGGAAAACACATATATAATTACATATTGTTTTTGTGATTAATCACTATGCTTTAATTATGTTCAATTTGTAACAATGAAATTGGGGATCACCACAACATGAGGAACTGTATTAAAGGGTCGCGGCATTAGGAAGGTTGAGAACCACTGCATCAAACAGGTTAATGATACAAAGTACCTAACACAGTGCCTGCCAAGCACAGAGCGAGCCCAGAGCTCTCATTCTCCCTTCACTCCTGGAGCACAAAGAGATGGGGGACAGCACAATGATCCACTTTCCTGCCCCAACCACATGGCTGCTGGGCTGCAGACTCACAAGTGGGGCATCGCTTGTGCTACAGCCAGCCTCAGCACAGCTGGGGCTGGCGCACATGCCCCTCCCTCCCTCCATTCAGGCCTCCTGAATGCCCTGACCTCACCCTGCGCTTTGCTCTGGAGATCTCTGAGGGCTTCAAAGACTCCTCTTTGGATTCAACACAAACGATGCTCCTTCTGGGTATGTACACAGGTGGGGGGAGGCTGAAGGGTGTGTCGGGGGTGGAGCCCACCCCTTTTCAAAATGAGGCCACACCTCCCTCGGCCTGGCTCTCATGGAGCTGCCCCCTGCACTGCCACTTCCTCCTGTTGGTGGAAAAATGCAGTCTAGCTCATCCCCACAGCAGCTGCTGTCAAGGCCTTGGTGTTCACCCAGCAGTTCTCTCCAGCGATGAAGCAGGTAGGTGTGGTGGTCCCACTTCTCAACTGTGGCAAGTAAGCTGTGAGCAAAGTCTTCAAAGCCATACTTTCCCCAGGATTATCCAAGATAGTCCCATTGTTTACAATCTGTCTCCACAAACCTTCACAATGCCCCAGAGATCAAAGGCCTGAATCTCCCCTCTTCGATTGTCTCTTTCCCCTGAGGGGCCCCCAAATCCTTTGTTAGCCGGTGGGCTCAGCACTCACCAAGCCTGATCACCACAGGTGACAGGTGACGGCTCCACAGCACAGGTGCCAATTCTTTGACCCTCTTCCCGTGAGGGCTGGTGTGCCCTGTCCTTGCATCTGGGTGGGCTT